CTACTTTCAAGTTGGATGTCAATGGCACATTGCATCAGAAGGAGCTATTTTTGACTGGAAAACTACAATGAAAAATTTATTAAACTTTGGTCTGTTCATCCCAAACCCATTCTATGGCTCCAAAAGAATTGGAATATAGCACTTGAGTCCTGTGGTCTGTATTTATGGTGTTTTCCCTCTTTTTGTCCATTTTGAAGCTTGATAGACACAGACAACAAGGCAGGAAGTAAAAAATGAATCTGCTATTGGTAAAATATTAATTTAAACAGATAATTGAATATGATTTAAACTTTGTTATTTGTATGTATGGGAGTTCAGGGACATTCTCAAGGCCATGTGTCAGCTTTCCAAGGAAATCAGACTACATTCAAGATACTCTCCTACCCATGAAGACAACATGGATGTGGCTACCAAGTCGGTAACATCAGATTGTTTTGTTGCCCATAAAATACTTGGGAGGATGGTCCTTGAACAGAGTTTGATGAAAGAGAAATGAAGGGCTCCTCAATTGGCTCACATGCAAACTAATGAGTGCGGATCATTAACAGTGTAGTCATGCATGCAATCCCCTTCAGTGGGGCAAAACTAGGGGTTTAAAACTTTATGTACAAGTCTGGACTCTACGTTTCACAACCAGTATTTAATGTGCAGTACATCCCCTATAGTATCACTGACTACAGAAGGAAATTCAATCGTCTTGTCTCTACTTGTAGTTTGGTCTGAGGCAGTCAGTCTCACAGAAACTGAGAAAGACTTAAAATGATTTCTGGTAGCCTATGTGTTAATGTATTTTGATCTTAAACAACCCAACCAGAGTCATTTTGGCCTACTAATAACAATGATTTAAATACAGGAATTTCCCTCGCAATCCAAAGGGTGAAAAATAGGCAGTCATTTTAACTTTAATTTTGTAGTTCATGAGTTAGATTTATAGCCACCTACTGATGTACAGTTTAATATTTCACACTGACTAACCTGTTGAATCGTGAAAGTTTGTTATCCGCTTCACAACTTGATAGCCTATAAACTTAAAGTATTACAAGGCGACAACTTTCTCTTTTCGGCATACAAATGTACCTAGGCCACAAAAAGAAGCAGTAGAGTTTCTACATCTTGTGTTATTTGTTAAATACAAATGAAAACCGTAAAACTCATTCGCCGTCGACAGAATAGTCTTACCTTTAAATCAATCTCTCAAGTGTGACCTGCTGATAAATCAGTGAAGAAACGGAAAATACGCCCCAAAACTGGTTTTACGTGAACTTCAAAAGGTCCGCGTGTAAAATTGCCTGGAAAATGATCTAAATACTATTTTAAAGTTAATTGCATTCTTTATCACTATTGTAATGTATTCTTGTTACTTTGTGAATGACACCGTTTGTAACACTTCCACCTACGCTGACCAATCACGGTCGGCGCACGACATGACGTCACCGTCGACCTTTCGAAGCCTTCGAACTGCGGAGAGACGGCTCTTTTCCTTTGCATATGTTCTGTCACACTTGTATTTATGAACGAATGTTTAATTAATGATTTTAAAAAAAAAACTGTGGAGAGAGACTCAACTCATTGTTTTCCTCCCGAATTCTCCTCAATTCGCGCGCCCTCTTTCTGTGATTCTGGGAACAATCAATCCCTCGCCTTGACAAAAGAGCAAGGAATGTTGGTTTATCGACCATGTTATTTTAGTACTGTCAGGAATTTGTCGTTGTGATTGTCTCTTTACATTACGACAGTGACACGGTCAAAAGTATTAGATTTGGGTTACATTGCTATTTTGAAAATAATTTAAAGTCAGTCTTTTTCCCAATAGTCCTCGTTCCATTTTTAACCATTTAATATTATTATATTTTCTGTTTCAACCATGATGTTAACTTAGTATCACACACAAAAAGGCCGTAAAGAAAGTGTCTGGAATTTTAAAATAAGTACCCTCATTTTTAAGTAGGCCTAAATCGGATTAGGTTTAATATAAAAATAAACATTTTTCAGTTTTGTATTAATGAACTCCTGGTAACCATGATATTTCCCTGCAGAATTCATAAGTCATGGCCACTTCCGAAGCAGAAAAAAAATCACCTCTTTCCCTAGTGTACAACATTGAATAGCTGACCCAATGGTACCCAACAAATAGCCATTGCTGTATGGTAGATGTGTATATGTTTGCATGTCTCTGTTATTACATCAGTGGAGCACTAGTCTGCACCTGGCCGAAGAATACAGCAGGAGATTGTTGAGGCTGAGATAAACTGAAAGGCTGCTGTGTTGCAGAGATGGGCAGCAGGAAGATGATGGCAGCATACTAAGCAATGAAGTGGTGCATTTTAGGGTTTGCTACCTAATTCTGAACTCTAAACCAACTATATATATATATATATATATATATGTGTGTGTGTGTATGTGTGTGTGTATATATATATATATATATATACAGGTACAGGTGCATCTCAATAAATTAGAATGTCATGGAAAAGTTCATTTATTTCAGTAATTCAACTCAAATTGTGAAACTCGTGTATTAAATAAATTCAGTGCACACAGACTGAAGTAGTTTAAGTCTTTGGTTCTTTTAATTGTGATGATTTTGGCTCACATTTAACAAAAACCCACCAATTCACTATCTCAACAAATTAGAATACTTCATAAGACCAATAAAAAAACATTTTTAGTGAATTGTTGGCCTTCTGGAAAGTATGTTCATTTACTGTACATGTACTCAATACTTGGTAGGGGCTCCTTTTGCTTTAATTACTGCCTCAATTCGGCGTGGCATGGAGGTGATCAGTGTGTGGCACTGCTGAGGTGGTATGGAAGCCCAGGTTTCTTTGACAGTGGCCTTCAGCTCATCTACATTTTTTGGTCTCTTGTTTCTCATTTTCCTCTTGACAAAAGATTCTCTATGGGGTTCAGGTCTGGTGAGTTTGCTGGCCAGTCAAGCACACCAACACCATGGTAATTTAACCAACTTTTGGTGCTTTTGGCAGTGTGGGCAGGTGCCAAATCCTGCTGGAAAATGAAATCAGCATCTTCAAAAAGCTGGTCAGCAGAAGGAAGCATGAAGTGCTCCAAAATGTCTTGGTAAACAGGTGCAGTATGTGGAAAATAATGTTTTTTAACCTTAAACCACATAAACATTTCATTACACCAAATACACAAAATAATGTTCTTTTAGCAACATCATAT